ATTATTTATTTAATAATAATAAATATATATCATATGATACATGAACATAAATATATAAATTAAATAGGTTGACAATTATATAATTTTAAAATTATTAAATTTTTAATAAAAAATACTAAAATTATATTTTTATGATATTTAAATGAATTAAAATTGTTAAATTAAAATTTTAAAGATTAAATTTGCACAATTTGTAATATTTAAAATATTAATATCATACAATTACAATAATTAAATAATTCAAAACACAACTAGGCCAAAAATAAATTAAAAACTCTAAAAAATAATACAAAACATAAAAAGCATAATGAATAACATGTATTACTGAGGGGAAAAAACTAAAATTAATCTACACGTTAATGTAATAAAAAAATTATTACAATATATCAAATTTAACATAATAAAAAAATTATTACAATACCAACATTTTTACAAGTTATTTTATAATATTTTTAAGAAGCTAACATTTTATTATACGATTGTAGATAATTTTTTTAATAAAAAAAAAACATTAAATCAACTTTACAAACATGGTTAGAAGAAGATAGTCACTGAAAGTGAAGCGAAGATTGATTATTTGGAAAGTTAGTGATATTTATACCAAATGGTTCTAGAAAGTCTTAAATATATATTTATTTTTTTTAGATTTAAGATAAATTTATTTTTAGTTATTAAATTTAAAATTAATTTTATATTTTTTATAATTTTAAAAAAATTTATTTTAATTTTTGTACTTAAATTTTATTAAAAAAGTTATTAAATATTATTATATAAAATCTATTCACTAATATTTTATTAGTGTAAACAAAATTAAACTAAATTAATATTATATAATTGTCTTAATTTATTATTTTTAAATATGTTATTAATGATTTCTAAGATTAAAAATTTTTTGGCTAAAAACCTATTTTGGTCCCTTATAATAATTGTTTGTTTCAATTTAGTCCCACTTTTATTTTTGGTTTCAATTTGGTCCATCATAAGTTAATTAGTTTCAATTTGGGACTTCCGTCCAAATTATTTAAACGGAGTTAAGTATTGACCACGTGAATGCTACGTAGATGCATACGTGGATACCACGTGGACACTAAATTTTGTGAAAACACCTGAAACTAGAACGGGCTGTTCTAAGTTCCAAAACTGAGAATAGAATATTTATTAATTTTATTAAAAAATATAATAATTTTGAAAAATATTTTTTTATGGTTTAGGGTTTAAAATGACTTATTTTTATAAAATATAATTGTCTTATAAATAAAGTAATAACTTTTTCTTTTTCTCTTTCTGTCTGAAGAAATATTTAAGTGTCACTTTATAATTTTTTGCAACTTATTTAAAATTAGAGGAATAAAATGATAAAAATTAATATAATAAACATAATAAAACTATTAATTTAGTTTCTTTTAGTATCCTCTAAATTTTTACATTCATTTAAAACAAAAATATTTTATAAAATTGATCTATACATGAAAAACTTTTTAATTTAACAATTAAATTCTTAAAAATTTGATATAGAACATTAATTATTAAATAGAATAAATCTATCAAGACTTACTCTTGAAGTAAGTAAATTTTTTCTTCATTAAAAATGAAGATAATTTTACCACAAAATAAAAAGCAATTAAAAAATAAAATAAAATATAAAAAAATAATATATTTATTATATTAGATATAACAACATAATTAAAATATAATTAATAATATATATTTTATAAAATTATTAATATCTATCTCTGTATATGGTTGTGTGGTGAAATGTTAGTCTATGTATCCTCTTCCTTTACTTCAGGTTCTACCTCTTCAAGAACAAGTTGTTGTTGTTGGGGTACATCGTTAATGACTTCAAGGAAAAATACCATGTCATTTCATCCTTTACTGTATAGTGTCAATTTGGTAGTAAGTAGTTCACTCTAGTTTGAAATGAAATAAAATCTGCTACCATTGTCTTTAGTGATACATTGCATTGTCTTTAGCAGTCTGGAATCAGAACGGCCCGTTCTGAAACCAGAACGACCCGTTCTGGTTGCACTTTTAGTGTGTTAATTTTGCACCTGGAACGGGCCGTTCCGGATGCAAAATTAACACACCAAAAGTGAAACTAGAACGACCTGTTCTGGTTTCAGAACGGGCCGTTCTAGTTCCATGTGTTTTCAAAAAATTGACATTGTGGCATCCACGTGGCCACACAGTTAACTCCGTTTAAATAATTTGGACGGAAGTCCCAAATTGAAACCAATTAATTTATTAGGGACCAAATTGAAACCAATTAATTTATTTACGACCAAATTGAAACCAAAAATAAAAATTGGACTAAATTAAAACAAATAATTATTATAAGGGACCGGTTTTTAGCCATAAAATTTTTAAAATTTATAAAATTAAAAATAAAAATTTTAAATTTGTGGGAAAAAAATAAATTTATTCTAAATTTAATAAACTAAATATATATTTAAATAAAATAAAAATAATTTTTTCAAAAAACATTAAATAAAAAAACAAAATGTTTAAATAAACTAAAAAGATTGAGGTAATTAATACTTTTAATAGTTACACAGACGGATTATATATATATATATATATATTCATAAGAAATTATTACATAATTAAATAAACAAAAAAGTTTAAGAAAAAATAAATTATTTAAAAATATATTCCTTTTATTAATAGATATAGTCACGCGGGTAAAATTGCTTAAATTAAAAAAAATGCTGAATTGATTTTAAAAATTCTGAAAAAAAAAAAAGATATAAAAATATTTTTTTTAAAAAAATTAATCAGAAAAATAAACGGTTAACAAATTCTATACTAGTGGACATTTTTCGATTCCATTTGGTTTTTATTCCCCTCGGGTCTTCACTTTGAGTCATTTAGAAGACGAGCGTGCATCCCCGTTGTAATTGTTTTGTGCCGAGTGAATGGCTGGTTCAGTTGGAGGGAACGCGAGCTCGAACGCGGGTGTGGAGTGGCACGTGCGTCCTCCAAACCCTAAGAACCCCATCGTCTTCTTCAATGTCACCATCGGTAACATTCCCGCCGGTCGAATCAAGATGGAGCTCTTCGCCGACATTGCGCCCAAAACCGCCGAGAATTTCAGGTAACAACGCTTTGGGCTTCACTTCGCCGCTAATTTTTCATTTCTTCTTTGCCTTTCACCATTGCTTCTTAGTTTCCCTTGTTGCTATCATGTTCAGAATCAACTTTCACCAACATACTGTTTAGTTCATGTGATGTGATGTGATGTTATCTGTTTTACTTTAGAATTTTAAGAATTTCGAGTTTCGCCTTACAGTTACATGACAACACCATTGAAAAATGTGTTTTAAATGCAATGCATGTTCGGAAGCTTGAGTGCTTGTAGAATGGTATAGAGGGACATGAGGTGTCAGCCTGGTGGTCTCTGGTTCGATTCCTGTTTGTGTCTGTGTTAAAATAATGGTTGGTCAGGGTGAGCGGAAGTCACTTCCTGGGAGCAGATTAGTTCTTGGTTGTCGATTTTGGGACACTGCGTGAATTATGTCTATGGACTAAAAAAAACAAAAAAGAATAGTATAGATGATTTGATTACTTTAGGAAGACTACTTATTTTCACTCCTCCTTAAACTATATTTTGGACTCTTTTTTCGTGAATGCTTGTTAATGGTTATTGGATTGAGATTCTCTTTTGTTGACAAGTTCATGCCCTTTTCAATTGATGAATTTGTCTTTTGTTATTTGGCAGGCAGCTTTGCACTGGGGAGTACAGGTAGTGAAACAGTCTTTTCCAGTCTGGCCCTATTGTGGTTTTCCATCTCTTTTCATTTTTTTTTTTTGTTCTTTTTAAGACACCCGCAACATCATTATCATCGTTATAGTATACTTTACTAATTTATACTGCTAAATTTCAGTGTAAGATTCTTAGCTTAATCTGAGTTGGCAACACTTTCTTGTCATTGCTTTCAAAGTCTGAAAGTTGAATGAGAATCAGCTCTATGATGTTTGCTCTTTAGTGTTTTTTTCTTTGCTATCAGCATTTGTTTTATAATTATTGTGATTACGAATTGATAATGATGGTATTTCTAAGTCTTGTGACCTGAAGGTCATGGTCTCTCTAGTCTCCACTTCATGGGATAAGGCTGCATACATCTACTCGTTCAGAAAAGAGGAAGGTGGGGGGGGGGGGGGGGTG